AGGGCAGGACTACATTTATCTAAATTAAATATTGCTTACAGTAAGCTCTCTAACGCTTCAGAAGATAAGCAATAAATTTGCTGTAGTTTATATTACAATAATTTAACTTCGCATTCAGCTAAAGCAGCTTTAGTGATTAGCAATACACTATTAATACAGCCTTTAAATAGATGATTCTAGTATCACTGCAAAAGAACATTGTTCTGTAAGTGTATACGAACATCGTATACGAACATCATAATTATTTTACAGCCCCATCTTTAGTTCTTTCAGATATAGTAAATTCAATTGACCATGAAATGAAATTTCATAGTCAAAATGCCTCCTTTACATTTTTTTTATTGCTGCAATAAAGTTTTTATAGCTCCAAGGCAAGGTAATTCAGGAAATGTCTAATTTAAAGATGAATTCTAATATTATTAATAAATATTTACCAGTTTAATAAAGTGCACATTTTCAGCATAAAATATGATATACTGTTTTCATTTTCTATTTTTGAAATACAGATTAACGACTGGAAAATCTCAGTACTAAAGATAGCTAGGGGAGTCCAGGGCAAACCTATGCAAGAACCCTCTTAATATTTTTGAAGTTGCTAAATTACCCAGCATTTATAAGCAGCACAGAAAGATCAATAACTAAAATACTAGGGAATGGGTCCTTCCATTTGGCAGCAAAACACACAGCTTGCAGCGACAGCCAGGCACCTGGCCCATGAATCTCCCCTTTTCCTCCCTACCACATCAAGCAATTCCTCATCTGGGAACAAATATTCCTGTGGGACAAAGCAACACACAAGTCCCGAAATCACATCTCTGGAGTGGCCACTACCCTGAAAAACACAACTGAACTCGTGGTGGTACAAGCTCCCTTGGGCCCTCTCTTCAACCTGGGTCAAAGTCTTGCCACTGAAGCCAACAGGAGCTCTGCCATTAATGTCTGCATGGCACTAGCTAGTGAAGAGGCAGGAGGGAAAGCCTCTCATCAGGTTGGAGAAGGGCTGAGAGAAGAAGTAGCTGGCCAGAGGAGGTGTCCTCAGGCAGGAGGTGTGAAGGTGACCACACAGCCTTTACTTGGGAAAATCATATTTTAGTGAAAGCGTGCAGAATGAAAAGTCAAACCCCTGGCAGGATACAAACCATGTGATAACACCAAGGGGACAGTTACACATGTAACGTAAGGCTGATCTAACCCATGCCATTCACTACGTGTTCCTGAGTGCCTTTCACTGAATTCAGTATACACACAGTCTATTCAGTTTTCACACACAAAATCCCTGGCTCTAAAACCTATGGCATTATGGATCTTTTCTTCCTTGTGATATCACCTAACATGTCCAGAGGCTGCAGAAAGCCCAGGCAAAATGAGTGAGATGCAGCAAGAAGGATCACACCCTTCCAGGCCAACCATGCCTGCAGAGGCTCTGAACTCTGCCTGTGGTCCATGGTTACTCCTCCACGTGTTAGCAACTTCATGGGACCTCAGAGGAAATGATCACACTTGCAATGAAGCCTGCAGCCTGGAGAGTTGAAGGGAAATGTTTGCTACGCATTGACTTGTAAATCTCTAATTAATTGTCACTCACCAGAATAATTAAACAGAACAAATGATTTACATGAAATCAGAACATGACAACACGATGACCTTTATTATAGACAAGCAATCAATCTGCAGTTTCATTCCACCAACTTCAGCAAAAGGTTCTACAAAACCACTGATCAGAATAAACATAGGCACTGCAAAACGTTCAGCTAAACATTCACCCTCTCTTCCATGTGCAATAGAGAAGTTAATGCTAATTGTAGCCATTGAGTTTGAAATGCTAAGTATGATTCAGAGCTACATCTCAGCATGGGGAATGCAAACACTGTGCATGCCAGCCCAGGGAGCACCAGGCATTGGAGATGCTCTCCAACATGGAAAGGGAAAGAGGAGCAAAGTGGAAACTGTTCGTGCGCTGCCGTGGAAGCAGCAGATATCTGCAGTGGCCATGCACGCTCCACCATTGCAGCCTCCATGGCAGCCTTGGGCACAGGATAGTCTTTTTATGACTCAGTCCTTCTATATGCAGTGGTGGTACTGATGGTACCTACCACCTCTTTCACAAGCTTAAGAAATTGCATTTCCATTTGTATAGATCTATCCCATGCAACACAGAGAACATGGAGATTTAATTTATTTGGTTATTTGTTCATTACTGCTGGCATAGCGCCCATCTCCCTTTCTGAGCTATTCCCAACATCAGGATTTCAAGAGATCTCCGATGACCATGAAGTGTAGTCCCCACACTTGAAATACAGATAAGTAGTTTGCACAAAACACAGTAGCATTGCCCTGTATCTTAACAGTGATGTTTATCTCCATGAGTCCATTGATGTTAAACACTTCTTCACCCAGCATATGGCCGTTCAATCACCAGCAAAACGTTGGTGCACCAAGAAACCACACTCATCTTCCAACAGGTTAGCCAAAGGCAAGAGCCACAATGAGCAGGACCTACCATGTGCAGCCCGTTGCTGTGGATGCCCCCGTCTTGCTCCACCAGGTTCCGGGAGATGGTGATGGAGGGCAGGTCCAAGCTCTGCGGAGGAAACTGCGGCGTGAACTCGCTGCCCGGTGTAGGCAGCTGCTCTCCCAGGCCCGCGAAGGGCAGCAGGACATCGGCCATGCCCAAGCCGGGCTCGGCCTCGGGCGGTGGCGTGATGGGCGGGATCTCAAACTCCTCGTCGCCCAGGCTCGGGGTGTGGAAGGTCTGCTGGGGAGAGCACAGCACAGGCCTCCGTGAGGGCACGCGCGTCCTGAGGCCGCGTGGGCGGCCACCATGGCCTCCCCCCCGGCGCCCACGCTGCGGGTCACGGCACCGACAAAGGGGCTTTGCGAACGGCTCCAAGTCAAGATTTAGGTCTCATTATCATACGGCTTTAATGGAGTACCAGTATTAACAGTTTTTCAACATGTGCTTAATTAGAAACATCTGTCTTTGTTGTGAGGCTGAATATCAGCTACACTGGATTTGGCTGTGTAACAAGCTGCCACTTCACCCGTACATCAGAGCAGCAGCACCAGTGGCTTCCGCGACCCTCCTGCTTCATCAGATCCTATTGGGGCAGCACTCACACCCCGGCACGGACCTCACACCTCCCTCCTTCCCTTTCTGACCACTAACAAACACGAAACACTGCAACGGCCTCAACACCTGTTAGCTCTCGAGCCTCGAGCAAGGCGCTTGCTGCCAACCATCCGCGGGGCCGTGCGTGCACATGTCTGCCAGGGATCATCTTTCCCCCACGAGGGCTGGTGGCTGCAGAAGCACCAACTCGTACTTGGAGAGCAGGCGTACTCCCCTCATTCAAATTTCATATATTATTTCGGCCCCACTGCTGCTTATTAATAGAAAGGGAGCGCTTGAAATTAGGCCATCTCAAATCGGGACCACCTCAACCAAACGGGGCAGCTGGCAGTCCTAAGGGGCATGTTGTCGTGTTTTGGACGTGCAAAGGGGTTTGTTTGTTTGTGTTGGTTCAGAAATTGCGGTTGCAGGGAGGGATTGTTTTATGGATTATTTACATTGTTTGAAAGAGTGACTTAATGCCAGTTAATTTAAAAATGATATGTTCAGCAAAAGATCTCATTAGCTGCCGTAAATTGTCATCCTTCAGACTGTTAATGATGATATAAATTAATAACCGCTCGAGAGAAGATGGAAACGGAAACACAAGGAAAACCTTTGCTTGCATATCGAACCTGTCAGCTGTCATTACTGGGCTCACACCAGAAGTGACGAGGTCCCAGGCTGCAGCATGGGAAAAGACTACAGAGAGCCTCCCAATGGCGCTCAGCAGCATGTCCTGCAACTCCAGCCTAAGTGGGAAGGCTGGGCCAAAATCTGGGGACACAGGGCATCCATGGCTCCAAGACCAAGGGGGGAATTTTCCTTTCCAGGGAGCCCCGAGTTTACCAACACAAAAGATGGATTGGCCAGGAGAAGTGGTTGGCTGATGAACATCACCCTATGGCTGCATTTGCAGTTATTTTGGCACTAATGTGGTCTAGTAACAGATGCAACTGTAATTTGTGACTCATTTGCTACCCCATTACTGCTTAATGAAATCTAACATATCACATTAACAATACGGATAAACACTCATTCTTGATATGTGGCATTTGGCTGTTTTCATTACCACTGTAATTAACACTTGAAATATTATTTCAATAAATATTTAAGGTGCTTTAAAATGGGTCGTGGTAATCATGACAAAGGGACTGAAAACAAAGCAAATATGCGGCTTCTTAGCCTGAAGATGCACTAGGATTATACCGTTAAGGTATTATTTACAGGAATAAAATGGGGTTCCAGCTCAGCCGTGCTTATTGTCCACAATCAGAGTGAGAAAGCCACATCCATGTTAATGCAAAACCACTATAATTAAATACATTGTAATGCAGTAATTGCATGTTAAATTCATGCTTTAATGCACGCACTAACACTTAATCATATTTTTATTCCTTGTTCAAGCAAAGGTGTTCAGTGAGATCAGTATTATTTTTGTACAGCTGAACATCTCTTTACATGTCATATATATGAGATAGTAGTAATTATAAGAATTGGACCTTCCTTCCCCATCTAACACGATAAATTGGAGACAGCTGTATAAATATGTAACACAGCTATACAATAATACAATATTTTACTTCGAAGCCACATTAATCTTAATAGTTATGGCTTACTAGAATAAGGAGAGTATATTGATGAATACCTTGGCATTTTGTAAATGTGAATTTAATTCTCACAATATAACTTGTCCAAATATGCATATATCTTTTTAAAGAAACATATAAAGGATCTAAGAATGAAGATGAAATAGATGTAATTTAAGAAGAAAAAAAGCCTCTCAGTGAAGTAGTCTTAAATCCAAATCACTGGGCTATTCAGACTGTAAAGAAGATCTGAATAGTATGCAATTTGGGATTGCAGAGAGGTGCTGTGATGACCAAGATGGTGTAACATTTATGGGATTTATCTTACCAATCATATTTTTTAAAGTTATTAACTCTTCAAATATTTATATTTTACATGCTTAAAAAAAAAAAAACTGTGTGCATGGTTAAATGCCATCTGTACTGAAATGTTCAAAACATTTGTTCCTTTTGATAAAAATGCAAATCTGGAGAACTGTTGTATCAACATATAACAGCCAATGTCTGACACGGTGAATTATCACAGCTGGAATTAAATTGTCTCTGAACAGCTGCTGGCAGCAGAGCTTTCATCAATGTTTGATTCAAATGTAGGAAAGAAATTCAACAGAAAGAAACATCATGTTGTCATTACAGATGGGGTTTGTGTTCATTATCACAAATAACACTAGAGCTAGTGCCAAACAATATTCCCTTATCTAAGCAGTCTTGCTGGGGAAGGAGAGATGGAGACCATTGTATAAATGATTCATAAAATACTACTCTTAATTCTAATGTTCACATTTTTCGTTATACCTTTCTACATATTTTCTCCCAGGTAGCTTTTTTTAAAAGCACACAAGAATACCAAGAGGGAATTGCCACTTCCATCACACAAAGGCAAGGTTGCCCATGTTTCAAACTATTCCTTATGTTTGAAAGGTCATTTCTGGCATATACCCCATGCATGTGCTTAGCTCTGCCTGTTGCTGCCAGGCCCATCCTGCCCATCTCACCCTGCCCGGCCCTTGGAAGCAGAGCTGCTGTCTCTTCAGCATGGGCAAACAGAGCTTCTGCTTGAAGCTGGGTCCAGCTGCACGAAGGTGCCACCAGAAGAGCAAATACAGGAACATGGGAGGTGATGCACCTTCTCTCTTGTTGCACCTTCTCAAAGCTGGTGACCAAATGGCCAGCTCGACCCCCAGCTCTGACTCTGGACCTTGCTCTCCATCCTTGCTGGAAGCTTCACTGCCTTGCACCAGCACGCGTAGGTAAGGCAACAACATTGGATTTGTTTTTCTAATTTAGATGAGCATTAAGAATCCAAATAAAAATTCTGCATCCTTGGCAGGAATTAGCACATTAGCTAATAAGGGCTATTACTAAGCTTGCCTTCAAAACATACACCTACTGTGCCTTTTGTTTCCTTCTGCTTATATTTTTTTCATACATAAAGCAGATTTGTTTCTATTGACATGCTATGTAAGTAACAGCCTTATGGACAGCTAAATTGACTAGTAATGGAGAGCTGTCAGGTTATTTTCTTTCTCATTAAAGTCTTTATTTTGTGCTCCATAAAACACACACAAATTCAGCACTTCACTCTTCAGCCATTCAAAGTCTGTTAAATTATCAAAGCAAACAGCAGAATATGAACATAGATAAAAAGAAAAACCATCTACCTCATTTGCAGCAAGAAAGGCATTATTTGCTTCTGCCATGTTCATGTAGTTGTTATTGTTTCCAAACTGAAGGAAAAAAAAAAAAAAGAATTTTAATGCATGCCACGACAAACCTTTCTTTACCACACTTTTATTAGTATAGAAAAGTACTCCTGAAAAACAGGTAGGATGTAAAATTGCTGATGATGTTCTGAAGTTAGAATCAAATTGGCTTTTAACATCACAGTTGTTACTGCACAGACCAAGGGACATGGGCTGCAGGTGAAAGATCTCCGAGCACAGCTCTTCAGCCTTCCCTGGCTATGGAGCAAAATGACCCCTCAGGCTGTGGGGTGACTCTGGAAATTAAGTGTCTCATCGAGAAATACCATCCTCCAGAAATGGCATTTTGACTCTACTGCATCTTTCTGAACATACATTATTGTATTTCTACAGGTGATCCTGATCTTGAGGATGGCTGTAGCTAGAAAACCTATTGTACTATTATTCAGAGTGGAGCTGGTTTAAAAGAGATGAAGGTCAAAAGGGGAAGGCAGAGAGTCCACAGCATTTCCTCTACATTTGATTCTCAACACAACAATAAAATCTAAACAACTCCCCTTTGCCCATCCCTCCTTCCAGCTGAGCTCCCACATCCCCTGGGAACATTAAGGCCAGAAGCCTTCACTGAGGGTTTTACAAACACCAGATACTGAGACTGCTGAGACCTTAGAGGTACCAGAGTGGAGGGGGCTGAGCGACTGCTTTTTCACTGAGATGCAGCTCATGGATGCGTATGGATGGTCAAGGATGTCATCAAGACATCTCTCCTTCAAGTGCTCTGTTATGACCATTGGTTGGTGAAGATAAACGCTTTTCTTTTAGAGACTGAACATAGGAAGGAAGGGAAGGAAGAGATGATGAGCATTTGGTTAACTGGCACTTAGTTTGCCTTATTCCCTTAAATGGCATTAGCAAAAAAGCCGGCAGTCTGGTAGCTATTTCTGCTCATTTTCTCAGAGGACGCAGGTACTCAACAGTCGTTGCTTCAAGGAATCAATACTATGCACGTCACGACCTGCCATGTAAAAACTAAAGCACCAAATTACACATTTCCACATTTCTAATATACAATCAGGCACAGCATACCACAAAGCAAAATGCAAGCAACGAGAAAAGTCTCTGTGCCATCTTTACAATACCCATCACTTCCCTACTGCTGAAGCCACACTAAACATCCTCACCGTAAATCTCTATTTTTGAGTTCTACAACTCAACAACTCAGCAGCAGCAGCCTAACCTCTGCCCCAAGTGTATGACAATGAGTAACTACACAGATGACAGAGATTGTTCTTTTTTTCAAACAAGATACCAGGAATGTCAGGAATGCATCCTGAGAGGAAACTTGCATAGGGAGCAAGGAGGGGTGGACTACACACTCACCTCTTGGAGCAACCAAACTTTGACTCCTCAGCTGTAAAACTCTTCACATAGTCAGTCAAAATTTCAACATGTAATGTGTGCTAAGCAACAGGAGCCCAACAGAATATGTAGTCTCACAGCCAATTAAATTCTGTCATCCTTACTCATTTAGACACTCAAGTAACATCACCCATTTTAAATGTCCAAAAGTCACCCAGTATTTTAAAGAAAATACACAGAAATGCACTAAGAAGCTATTTTTTGGCAAACAAGGATTTGCGTGCGGGCATGTGTGCATATATATTTTTGGTAAAAGGACTTAGAGCTTAAGCTCACCACTGAGATCAACAGGATAGACTTCCTTGCACGTCAGTGGGGAACTAAGACGTATTTACAAGGGAAAAAAAAATCAAATGGCTGCAAAGAAGCTTTTCTTTCCTAGAATAACTTTTTAATACAGTAACTTTTCCCAGCGTCAGTTTTTGAAATTATACCTAAGTGCCAGTAGGTCCAACAGGCAAAGGTGGCTCTTACACTAGGTAAATATTTGGGAACAAAAAGCTTGTTTTAATGAGCTCAACTTCCCAAGAGCTAAAGCATCTCAAAAGGGGAATGTAGGGGAGCATTTCTTTTTTTTTTTTTTTAAATTATTATTAATCTTAGAGAGTAAAATTTCATGTTGTTTGGATCTACATATGTCCTCCTACTACATGAACTGGTAATGCGAATTGGAAGTGCTCTTCCTTCGTACTTTACTTCGTAAAGTAAAACAATAGAGAAAATGACAACATAATTTTTCACTTAATATTAAAAATGAGGAAGGAAAATGAAGAAAATCAAAGTAAAAAGTTACAGTTATATGTCCTTACATTCATTCTGTTATTGGGCTTCGATATTTAAGACTTTGTTTTATATGTTTGAGGCACTGATGTCAGAACCTGGCATAATTAAGCTTTTGTTAACATGGATCATAGCTAACATTACTTATTTTTTTCTCTCTGAATTAAAGAACCATTCAAGGCGCACGACAATTATCAGTGAGTATTTTTAAGATTAAACTTCCTTATTATCTAATGGTACCTATAACAACGAACGAAAATAAAACGGTTATTATCTTAAGGACCTAAACAATTCAGAAAACAAATTAAGCTTAGAGTGAAATAAGAACTGGGTTAGAAATCCTCTTCTGAACAGTTAGTCTGCGAATGTAATTACTGAAGAAACTACAGCTAATCAGCTGTGAATTGTATCCATTAATTAGTATTTGCCCTGGAGAAATGAGAAAAATCAGTAACAATGTTAACACTGCAATGCACTGATGAGTACTGAAACACAGGGCCCTCAGCATTTAGTCAAGCAGGTGGCTCCAATGGTCCAAGTAATTTAAAAAGCTCTCACCTGAAGTGCAGAGCTGGAATTACAAAGCACTTCTTGCATATCTTTGTATCTATATAAGGCTATAATTAATGGCTTTTAATTTAGAAACACTTTGCGATCAGCTGGGAACAGTTATAAATCACTCTAACTGGAACAAGGGGTTCTTGTCTATTTTAGTAAAATAATTTTGAAAAGAAATATTTTTTTTGAGGGGTGAAATGCCTCTTGTTGCAGTCAACAATCTTCTGAAGGATCACCTGCCCAGACCCCTTGGAAGCAGCACAGAGCATTCCTGCCCTTGGCAACAGGCAGCCAAATCCAAGGCTGGATGCAGCAATTGGCCCTGCTGAGGTGCACTTTTGGGTGTTCCCCCCGTTGCACTTCAGTGGGACGAAAATGATTGAGATGCAGCATCTAGTCAGACTACCTCCTCATCTCAAAACACTCTGCAAGCTACCTAGCCATGGTAATTAGGACCATTTTGCAAAAACCTTTGCAGTTCAAGGTCTAACTCTTATTGCTACAGGGAATAAAAAGTGTTCAGCCTCCTTTGGCAATACACATCATAAGCCCATTTGTACCAGAATAGTCATAAATCCTACATTTCCAAGCAACATCTGTGATGACATCCAAATGAGAGGCACAAAAGTCTTACAACCCACTATTTGTTTTCTTTAACTTTAGAAATTCAGCAAAGCACTCTTAAGTTTTGATAAATAAGACCGGAGTACGGCGACAAATAAAAGACTATATCAGCATGCTGATGTCATGGAAAATGACTGCAAGTAAATGAAAACTTTTCTAATTTTTTGTGAACTGCAGCTTTCATTCTTCATTGCATTAAAACTATTACAGTTTAGTCTTCTGCCCTTAAAGGTAAAAGAGTACTTGTATTTCAACTTGGCCCTGCTGAAATAGGTAAGAACAGACCGGAAGGCTGCAGTGAGATTGACCATCTCCTTACCAGCGCCTAATATACACTGTCAAGAAAATTAATTATTTCTAAAATAGCTTATTAAAGCTCTTCTCCCAGCTTCAGCCACCAAAACTGAAGCCCAACATCTAGCTTCATTAATCTTTTATCAGAAAGGTGCATGTATATAATACTAAGAGAAAAATCACGTCCTCTCGCCTTTGCCCAGCCTGTGCCCTAGCAAAGACCAAATCAACAACTTGAGCAGACCCAGGCTTTAAAGAGTATACAAGGGCCCCATTTTTACAAACCACACGCTTTCAAAAAACAACTATCATGAGCCAAATCTTAAGACATCAATCTACAAGTCAAGGGATTTGCTGCTTTGAATCATCACAGCACCATGCTATTTGAGCTTTCAAGCTATCTTCTGCATTTAGTTGAGGTTTTTTCTGCTCTTGAAAGCCCTAAGGCTAATGAATTCACATGAATCAAGGAACTAGTGTTTTAAGACAGAAGTCTTAGATGGTGAGCTTCATTAAAAAAAGAAAAAAAAAATCTTAGGAATTGGGAATACAGATCAGTGATTAAATGTTCACAGAGTTCAAATTCCTACCCCAAAAAAATCTTCAGAAATCTCAGAAGGTTAAATAGAGGCTATTGGCTGAGTGCTTCTTTTGAACTGTGATGAGTCAAAAGCCACTGCAATAGAAGTTCACACTACAGAAACACTCTGGGATCTGCAAATCTGAGTCATCACAGCCCATGACCAAAAGAATGAACTTTGAAGCTCTTATAGATACACAGGATAAAATTCTAGACTTACAAATATTAGTGGAAATTTTGCTATTGACTGATTTTAATGGAGAAATTAATTACTTGCTGTTTAGTCATCAGACTTTACTACAACTTTTGCACATTTCTGCCTTAAATCAGCAAAACTGTGGTGAATCTGACTTCAAAAACCTTAGAGCTCATGCCCACTACTTGGTACATTACTTATTTATCTTCAAAAAACAAAACTGTATTTTTATAATCATAGTATTTTTATGCTCAACAGTAAAATTACTCAGGCAAACCCATTAGATTATTTTTACAGAATTCTTCCTCCTGGTTAATTTAAAAATGCAACAACAAGGAGATCAATACCATAGAAAGACTTATTGTTGCTGCAAGGAATAAAACAGAACCCTGGAATGCGAATACGTGTTACAGAAAAAATTCCAAACAAAATGTTCTGTAATGAGAATAAAACGCATTTTATCATCTCAGAACATACCAGGAGGTAGGCAAGATATTTGGCTTAAAAAGAGAGTAACTCTGTACTAAAAGATTACATTTCATAAACTAGGGAATAAATAAAAGCTTTATTAGA